ACTCCTTACATTTTTACACAAATATCTGTACTTTCTACTCCTTACATTTAAAAAAATTGGCTCGTTACTTTAGTTTTGAATCATTTCAATGGAGTTACCGTTATTATTTTTCACGTCATCAATACCAAATTCAATCTAATTGGATGGGAATCTACGTTGCATTTGACGCACCACTACAAGATGAATCGACAGATTCGGCGGTATTCATTGGCGGCAAATCATTGCAGCTTGGTGGCGGTGGCGTTAGCATAGTAGTATGGACGACGAGATGATTGAAAATGAACACAACGGAGATCTAGTCCTATTGGCAGACATCCATTTAAAATGTAGGCAACGGCATGAAAAAAGTGGTTTCTACTTTTACTTTTATACTTTAAGTAAATTTACAAGCCTGTACTTTGTTACTTTTACTTGAGTAAAGAACTTTAATCAGTACTTCCACTTTTACCAGAGTATTTTTTAACACAAGTATCTGTACTTTTACTCAAGTACGGAAAGTGAGTACTTTTGCCATCTCTGATAGACATATACCAAAAACCAGTCAAACTTATACTAAGTTATCACACCAGTACATTTATATGAATGCCAACAACCAAAAACATCTTAAAAACACTTTTTTTTAAAAACAAGACAGAATTTCATGAATAGGTTTACTTCTTGTATATAAATCTTGCCCTGCTGAGGCTTTGTGAAGGCAAATCTGTGTTTTGCATGGTCCAATATGAACCTAAAAAACTAATGTACCAGTTTAATAATGGAGAATCTATTAGTCAGCTTCATATTTTTTTATTATATAAAAGCTATTTATTTTCTGACAATGTGTTTATTTATGAGCAACTATGCAAATAAACAAACATCTAGAAAAAGTACTTTATTAAAACTTTATTATATTATTTATATCATTTTCCATGTGAATCCTAGATCATTCATTCTTCTTTGCCTTTTCTATAAAGTGTTTTAAATCAGTCCTACCTGTCTTTATCCATACTGAGTCAGATCCTGGGGAATAAAAAACGCTAACCAAGCCTTCTTGTTAAACCAGGTGCTAGAAAAGGACATTTCTTGCACCATTTCTCTCTCTCTGTTTCTCCAATGTGTCTCCAACCCCCGTGACTTGACCTGTCAATCACCTGCATAACGTCTGCGCTGTGACAGGAGGCGGTGAACAAATACACTTCCTGTCAGCTTGGGGCGCACCAGAGCTGCGGCCTAAGCTGTCCTATACCTTTGTATTGTAGAGGAGCTTCTGCGCATGTACAAATTTTAACCAGAATCTATAGGCAGAGATTTTGGCGCCCTGGGCGGAAATACGTCCCCAATCCAACGAAAAATGGATTGTGGCTTTACTAGTAATTAAAAATTAAATATTTATCCTTTATATATTTATTTGTTTTCTTTTAGATATTTTACATTTTTATTTAAAATTAAATAATAAGAAAAACTATAAAAAAAAAATTTATTACAACTTATCAGGGTCACTGGGTGTGGGGCTGCACCCTAGCGCCCTCTATTGGCCAGCCACCACTGTCCAGATGACCTCTGACCCTGGATCGATCTAGGTTTGGAAAATGAGGGTAAACCTCTATTAATCTAATAACTCATTTACTACCAAAAACACAGCTTTTTTGTTTTGTTTTGGGTTTTTTTTATTTGCTCTATTTTCCATTTAATGCAGATATTTGTTCTAAGAAAAGTATTAAAAAGACAAAAAAAAAGATGTTGAATTTTTTGGTAAAAAAATATCAAAGTATATTTTTGTCTTTCTGATAACTAAGCTACATTAACTCTTGTTATTCCCCATCAACAGTTTACTCTTTTACTAGACATTTTACTAAATACAGATTGGAAGGCTTTCTTCTCACTCTGAGCTGAAGGTTATGTTCCCAATATTAGGAAATAAAATTCTAAAACCTCTTTTTTTATTCCTAATTTCAGAATATTGAAGATATTATATTGCAAGACATAGACTAAAACATAACGAATAAGGCAAATGGTAGCAGGTAAATACAGACAAATCTAAAAAAAAAACATGGAATATCATAAAATTTTCTTTTTTACATCCATTTTAAAAAAGTTAAAAACAAATTATTAAATTATATATTTTCTAATCAAAGAAAAAAATATGTCAAGCTTTTAGTTACAGTAATTTTGATTGCGATGGTGAACTACTAATGAAAACCTAACATTCATCTCTCAGGATTACATTATTACCAAACCAAAGCCTTCATAAGATTACAATATTTAAAGGCCTGAAATATTTCACTGCCTGCGACATGAATGTACTTATGATGAGTCACCCTTCCTGAAATGACTCATGAAAAAATATCAACCTTTTTATGATGGATATTTTCTATCAATAAGTGGAACAGGAAGCGCTTGTGTTTTGATATTTTAGTGCTGATTTATCTGCATAATTCTAGAGCCACTTAAACAGGAAGAAATCGTTTCCTAAATGATTTAAGTCATTTAATAAAGCGATTATTAGGAGAGGCATTTATATGGTCATTATTGTGAAGCTGCAGCTGACATGAATGGATTGTTGTGAGTCATTAACACCCTTATAATACACACACATCAGTGGCTAATAATCAAGCCTTTCTTGTCACAGTGAAACATGTGCTCCGTTGCAGTTGTTTTGAAGGTTCAATTCTTTGACCAATAGACCAAATTAGGTCTCTAGTATTTATAGCACAGGCCTAAATTTAGTCTGGAGTCTTTGCTACCTTTTTGCAACTGCAGTTGGAGCTTCCATCTCCAATCACCATCTTTGCCGTGGCGTAACTGACTGACTAATGTTTTAAAAACTTGAATTTCACTGACCACACCCAAGCCAGACCTCAAGAGATCCTTTAGATGGAAACCAGAATGACAAAATGATTTAGACACCTAAAAAAAAGCACAATTTCCTGCTTTAACCATAATTTAAAAGAATACAAAATAAAATGATTGAGCTCCATCAGTATGAAGAAGGTAATTGATGACGTTTTACTGCCTGGACTCCACAGATTCCCAGAAAAACCATCACCCAATCTACCAAAAAGGACTGGCAGTAGTAGATATTCCCAGAAGTTACTGGCTTACCAAAATTACTCCTAAAATAAGCTGTCGTATAGGAAAATGTTTTTACACTTCAATTAGGTGTTTTTTTTTTGTTGTTTTTTTTTTAATCAAAAGGAAATTCTTGTATTTCGTAAAAATTGCAACAGAAACACTTATTTTTGTGTCACCCGAGTCACGCGATCTGCAACTAAACCTTACTCTCTTCTAAAAAGATAAAGATCATGTAAAGAAACCTTCGCACATGCAATTCAAGTTGTATTTCTTATTTAATGGAAATAGCACGACTACAAAAGTTTTCATTTTTGAGATTAGCAAAATAGGGCTGAAAACATTTGTATTAATAGTGATAAATCGATTAATAAAATAATCCTCCACTAATTTAGTAATCGACTAATCATTAACTGGAGTATAGAGACTGTAAATAATGCCTTTAGCTGACAGAGAGACCCACTTAAAGTTGCAATTATACCAAAATTGTAAAACAAAAATGTAATAAATAAAACATTGTCATGTAAAAATAACTTTTTCATCTGTCAATATGCTCTATCTAGAACTGGTCAAGCAGAAAAGTTGAAGTTTCCCCTGGTTTCTTTTCATAAAAAGTCATCAAGTTATTGAGGAAGCTTTGGCTATCCAATTATTAATCAATTAATTGTAAAATAATTGACAGATAATTGATTTGCAGCACTATAGAAAAATATCGACCTAGTTTTTGTGAACTTTTGAAATGAAAGCTTAGCAATAGTCTTTTATCAGGTTTAGGAGTAATTACCAGCTCACTCAAACATAGACAAGGCAACTTTTCTCATAATAAATGAAAACATGATTATATATTACCTATTCAGGTTAACTTTATCTGATGACCTAAAAAATCTGACAAACTGCAAAAAAAAGCAACAAAAAAAAATCTAGAAACAAATAGCAAGATACCTGAAATCCTACACAGATGCTAAAGCAGCAGTCAGATGAAGACACAAATTTAACAGCTCCCCATAAACCATCTGTCTCTTCAGATCCACCAGAGACCTGAGGACAACATCCAAGTCTGCCAGAGATCTCGAGGTGCTTCACTGCTGGCCTGCTGGCCATGAGGGGATATAAGTGAGTTCCCCATTCTGATTCGTGCTTATGAGTCAGGGTGGAGCATTTGTGGGGATGAGGACTTCAAGGGATAATTTTTAGCTAAGCACTCTGATAAATGAACACTCAGAGAGACGGGTAGACTGGTGTGTCATAAGTAGTTCACTACAGGGGCCGAAAATACATCCAGCAACACAAAGAAACTAATTGGAGGTGTACAAACGGCAGCATGGTGGAGCGAGTGGATGGGTGAGAGAGGCTGAAGCTGTTTGAGCGAACAAAGACAAAGAAAACAACCACAGGCAAATGCTCCCTGCCCACATTTGCAAACCCAAAAATTCACACACACATCCACAGCAGACTGTGTATATGGTGTGTGTGTGTTCATAGCGGATGCAGCCACTGCATTAGTAGTGTGGATTTATTACAAATATTGATTAACCATGGACGACTCAACATCACGCTTGTGTTGCAAAGCACTGAGTCAACAATACGTAGAAAAATGACTGTTTATATCTGCAGCACTCCAACACAATAAATTATGAACTATTGACTGTGCACCTGTGCAAAGCAACATGGAGGCAGAAAACAAGCAGACAGAGGCATGCTGAGCAGCATGCTGGAGCATTGTGAACACCTGCAACAACAAAGACCTCCCTGTTACCAAAAAACAAAGAAAGATTCCCCCCATAAAACACATTTATGGGAGGAAAGCAGGAAACTAGAGATTTTAAAGGGCTTCGTTGTTGATAGAAATGCTTTGGTCAATATTTATGGTGAGGCTATACGATGAACAACTGCTGATATCTTTGCATTCTACTCGTGCTGTAAAATGAATAATCAGACAGGTTGGTACTCACCTCCGCCCCCTCCGAGCAGGCTCTTATTGGCTGAAAGACAGAGGAGAGAAGAGCTTATGAACATGACTGAACTGCAGTGTCAAATGCACTAAAATGGATTCATCTTTTTAACACAATGGCTGGAAAAGGTGCAACGATGCAACAGTTGAATAATTCAACTAAACCCTTCAGATTTGGACAGGATTTGTAACTACTGCATGTGATTGTAGCTCAGATATCACCTTACAGTAAAAAAATGTATACCACCAAATTCTACCAATAGTCAACAATGTTACGTTACAGTACACACAAAATCGTCAAGCACTAGGACCAAGCGGAAAACTGTAGCTCAAGCTGAAACCTGCTTCCCTGAGTATAGACCACCCACAAGCTCCTGATTGGCCCATTGTCTTTTCTTGCATGATTGGCCGTCACTTCTGAGAAGCTCACTTTACAAACACCTGACGCGCCACTGAATCTGGTCTGTGACTGGTATTGTTAGTTGTATTGAAATAAAGTTAGTTGTATTGAAATAAAAAATTTCGTCCGTGGTAACAGCAGCAAATGTATAATCAAACAGAAACTCACAAATTAACACATTAGGAAACAAGATCGGAGCAGGATTGTATAACTTTTAGCCACTAGGGGCGCTGGAGCTGTAACTTCCAGGTTCAATGTCCCGGCTCGATGTTAACCATCGCCCGATCTCCCAGGACAAGTCGTTTTTATTGTTGGGAGAGTACAAATTTCATTGCATTTGCCTGCCGGGCAAGTGCAATGATCGCAAAAAAAAAAAATTTTATCACTCAAAATTACTTTCAAATCATCGACATTCGATGAAAAGACCAATAAGTGTTGCCGGCGCCATTTTTGTTGTTTTGTACACATTTATAGAGCTAAACATGTTAAATTGGTGACCTGTTATGTTGTTATTATTCTCTTGTTGCTGCATTTATTTTGTCGGATAAAACTAATGCTGAGTCTGTTAAAAGTCAGGGAATTCTGAAATTATGTAAGACTGTGGAAACCCTGTATAAAATAACTATGTATAATGATTCTCTAGAAAAGTCACATTATATCAATAGTATTATCTTGTATAAAAATACCGTGACTCTAAAATAAAAGTTATTTGTGACATTGACTTCTGTTTTGTGATTTATCTTAGGTTTTTAACCTGTCAAGTTTTTTTTAGATTTTTAACATTAAAATTTATATTTTTCCAAGCACACAACAGTTTAAAGCAAAGTTTAGTTTGAAAAGAATGTGCAGGAAGGGTTGAAAAGTTAACACGGTAATGTTGGCTTGAGTTCTTTATCTGATGCATGCGTATACACACCAGGAACCTTTAAACTTAAAAAATACTGAATTACAAAAAACATTTAAAAAACAACATGTTTCATTGATATATATATATATATATATACAAAATGAATATTAGGAACTATGTTTATCAAACATTATACTGGGCAAGTAAAAATTGTTTCTGGGCAAATGATTTTCCTGGGTTTCCCTGCTTTAGCGCAGCTGATTATAATGATTGCAGTAGATCAAAAGACTGTTAATCAGCTTTCAATTAAAATCAGCTGTGCTGGAGCAAGGAAACCTCTAAAACCTGCAGGACAGCGGCCCTCGAGGACCGAGGTTGGGGATGCCTGTGATAGCAGACCTCTTTAAACCAGCACATAGAGAAGTCATGGAGGTATTGGTAAAGACAAGGTGGCATCCACTATATTAAATCCCACATCAGAGAACCAGATACATGTCTGATCAGGTAAGTGTTTAACAACAACTTTTAACTTTTTTAACTCTTGTGTTTAAGGGGGGCCCAGACTGCCATAAAGCAGTCTGTACACAGTAATAAAATGCACCAATTGCTGTATATTAAAGCTGAAACATAATTGTATACATCTCAAATTAAGCTAACACTTAGGTCAAAACGTACACAGTGCTGCTTCAAGTATAAAGAAAAACTGGACAGCCAACAGAAATACTCGGTCAAACCATGTAGGAATATGTACTTCTTTAAACCTATTCACACATTCCAGGTGGATGCTTGCAGCATTTCCCTCTAACCATAGAAGTCACATAAATCCACAAAAAAAGAAGAAAATAAAAACCTTTCAGTGATCATTCAGTAAATGATCTCTTGGGTTCATGTTTGTCATTTTGGGGTCTTTAAAGATATCTTTATTATTTTCATTGGGGGTATTTCAACTATTTTGCTTCCTACTTTTATCAGACTTGTACAGTGTGCTGTGTGGCACTCCTTGTTTTTTTAATTCTCCCTCATCGTTGTTAAGAAGTCTGAACTGATTGTCTTTTTTTATTTGATCATTTCTCAAGTGGCTGTCCAAACCCTCACTGAGGTTTTTATACTAAGTGTAAATTTTAAGAAAAACGTCTTAGCTATGCTTTTGAGAGCTTTGAGTATTAGAAAGTTGAAGCAAATCACAGAACAGCAGGTTTTTAAAAAGGTCAGACCCTAAGAGGGACCAATAATGTTGACCATGGTAGTTTGGTTTTTTAAGGCTTACATTTATTTCAGTGTTCACAGCAAGATAGTGTGGCCATCTATAATAAAATTAGCATGTCGATTCAGCAGCACTAGAGGATTATTTTTTTTAAAGTAAAATGGAAATGTTAACATAAGCCAAGGATGTATAGTCATGAGCAAGCTTTATTCTGCACCATCCTTGTTACCAACAGACACCAAGTTCATGCGTCATTCTGCCTTGGCTGATGCTGTCCTATCGATTTGGCTTTTAACAGAATGTACCAGAAAACATGTGCAGCTGGTCACAGAGTTCAAATTAGGAAGACTCAGTCCTTACAGCAGCATGGCAGCATGTTCTCCTGTTATATATGGAACAAAACACATCAGGCTTGACACAAACATGTTGAGTTTTACTATTTGAATTTAAAGTTGGACCTTTGATACATCAGGTTTATTCTTTTTTTCTTTTCTTATTTAAAGCTTTACTCTTAGTTTCTTCTCAGCTGTGTCCACACTACAGCTAAATTATCCACAGCAGCCTCTACTTTAGAACGGCAGGGGAAGGCAAGTTTATTTGTATTACACGATTCAGTACAGGGACAATTCACAGTGGTTAAAACTAGTTCATTCAGACAGCTAACTAACTAATTAAACAGTACAATTGAAGGAAAATAAAACAGAATAAAAGCAAGTAAAGAAAAAAACATGATAAAAGCATTTAATAGTGTTAAATTATCATCTGTAGAGGACTCTTTGAATGGAGGATCTCTAAATAAATGGTATACATTGGTTCAATATTGACTACTTTAGATGTTCTTCATATTAATCTAATGAACTTAAGTGTGTTTATTAGGTTTTAATAAAATAGATCAACACAAAGTAGTTTATAAAGCTGTGCTTCGCTGCAGTTAAGGTTCATTTTCTTTCTGCCAAACTCACACCTCTAGACAATGGACAGAGACATCTTTAAAATAAGCTCCAGCTTATTACCCCATTTACCATACCCTTGAAAAACCGATCCATGCCGAGACCGATCCGAGCTCGGATCAGTTAACCAGGCCGAGCTCGGTTCTGACGACCGTTTACACATCACGCTATCTCGGTTCCTCAACTCCTCGCCTCCCAGTGAACATCTGCAGTATTACTGCCAGTATTGAAGGAGGAAATCAAGCAGTTGGTGGCGGTAATGCACCAAAAGTTGTTTGCCAACCGCCATAAAACACAAGAAGAAGAAGACGAAGAAGGAGGGAATCAAGCAAATTAAAATTGGCGGCGCCCGTCACATTCAGAAAGTTATGCATGATTATTATTGCTGTATTTTGATGTTATTATTTAAAATGCCATTATTTAAAATGTTGCGTGGAGAAGATTTCGATTGTTGTTTATAGTTGAAGAAGAAGATATTATTCTTCTGTTTCTGGAGGGGCATTACCGCCAACTACTGGAATGGAGTGTGAATAGGGATGTGCAGCCAGACGGAGATGACGCGTTCTGCTCATAAGCTCTTGTTATCAGAGAACCGAGCCAGGAAAAAACCGAGCCGAGCCCACCTCTGGAATTGGTCTGCAGTTATCTTGGTACGGTTGTGTCTAGCTCGGTTCAGTTCAGTTTGCTTTCCATTTACACATGATAAGTTATCTGAGTTACTGAGCTCGGACTCGGAACGGTTTTTCAAGGGTAGTGTAAATGGGTTAAATGGCTAGCTTTTAAAAACAGTATTTTTGCAACCCTTCCATTTGAAAGTATAAATATTCTTTGATCTATTCCACTTAACTGCTCAAACAACAACTTCAAGCCCAGTTTTAAGTTTTTTGCAGCCTCTAATAGGCTTAATTCCAGGACTGCCACATACAGTATTTCCTAAATGTCTCCACTTTAGGACAATACAAGTATTTCTATTTCATTTCAATTTTATTGATCTTCATCCATCTTCCCATCAACTCCAACCAGCTTCCCTGTCTTTGCAGAGGAAAGCTTTCCCTACAGTGTGATGCTGCTACTCTGGGGATGTTGCAGTATTCAGATTCAGTTCTTCATCCCTCCTACCATTTTGGTCATTTTTTTCTAATGCATGGTTTACAAACATAATGGCATCCCAAATATTGCATCAAATCCACATTAATAGGGGACCACAATGTCATTTCACAACAGTGAAGGTCTACTTGAAAGTAGTATTAATTATGTCCTTTATTTGAAGAGATTAAAAATAAGTTTATCCTCAATTTTTGGGGGGATTTGTTTTAATTCTATAAAAATCTGCAATTTGTCACAACTTTTACATTAAGGAGAGAAGAAGAAGCATTTAGCATTTAACAATATGCAGTAAAATGTCATGTTCTCCACATTATGCCATTAGAAACATGTTTTTAACCTATTTTAGGGCTTCTTATCAGGATTAGCGCTTATCGCTGCAGCCTCTTTCATGGCTCACTGTAACACCACTTTATAACCTGTTACTGAGTTAATTACATTCACTTTTCTTTTCTGCTGCGGCTCCCCTGATTTGTTGGCTAGAATAGGAACCAGCAGGTTCTAAATCTTATCAAGGAGAACAGAG